GGTTAAACGAATTCCAATGACGATCATAAAATTTGTGTTTTCAGGGATATTGAATCGATAAAAACAAGTGTCTGTTTCATCTTGTTTAAATTTGTGTTTGTACCTATAACATTCTAGTCTTTAGAAATCCCCTTCTTTCCTGATTGATCTCTGTTAAATATTATTTTATTAAGAAACTTGCAAATCATCAAAAGTAAACGTGAGATATTTTAACAATATACTATTAAAATTGAAAAATTATAATTATACGTTGATTATTGGTTGATATGATCGTAGTAGGTAGCAATGCAATATTCGAATAAGACTTTTTTTAACTTGAGTGAAATTCAACAAAAATAAATACAATTTAACCTCACTCCAAATATTGTACAATGTTGTCTTAGATAATTACCTAAGTACTTATACGTATAAACTTATTTCGAGTAAAAATGTTCAAGCATATTCTATGCAGTTTTGTTTTTGGACTGTAATAAATATATATTATAAATACTTTCGAAATAATGTTTATTTGATTACTAAGTATGGTAAGTACTTACCTTAAATATAATCGTGACTATGATGATTTTGTTCAGATTACTATGACCTTATATATATAGTGAGAGATTTTAACACTAACTATAAAACTATGGTTTAAGATGATTTATTTTTTTCAGCACGCATTATCCTCGTACTTTCATTAATGTTCATTTTTTACAATCAAATAAATATGATATATTTTGATCAGTTAAATGATCAAAGATAATTGATAAATGACAAACTATACAAACCATACAAATTATATTTAAACTTTGATTAATATTAAATTACAATTAAAGCTACCTACTGTAAAAAATAAAATTCAATCAAATATTGTGATAAATTGTAATAAAATATAGTTTTACGATTCTACTCGTACATGGGCATGATATAGTACAATATTAGTTAGAATTGAAAAAAAAAATAATAATAGGTCCTCTCATCGATTTCTATTGTTTAATCATTTAATTAAATTGATACCTGTATAATATTTTATATATAGATTATTTAAAAAAAATGTTTATTTATTAATGTATAATTATGTGCTTTTTAACTTATAAACGATTATTAATTAAAAATTGAGATTTTAGTGTTTATACAAATGCGCAGATATGTATATCATCAATACCATAGTACAATTGTCTAAAATTCGATAAAAGTATAATAAATTATTACGTGAGTCATACGGCTTCTTTAAGTCTGTATCAAATTACAAAACTTGCATATTTCAATATTTTTTACACGCAGTACCCTTAACCATATTAAAATGTGTTCAATGAATAATAATATAATAACTAATAACATGTATATACAAACGATACTTTATTATGCTTAACTAAATATACAAATGGGATTTTAAATTGAGAATAAATAATATTATTTGTTTACAAACTCTATATTAACTGTATCATTCAATACTAATGTGTACACGTAAAAGATACTGATAGACAACCTATGTAAGTTCCGAATACTTTCTAAAACGTTATAAAATTATTATTTGTTTTACTGTTATTTTGTGGTTTTTCAATGGGATTTTTGAAAAGATGGAAATCTTTTAAGGTTATAAAATTACATGTAATAAAAATCTAAAAATATCATATTATCTATGGCAGCATTGACGACAAGTAAATACGCATTATTGGTCAATAAAGTTTGAATTAAATCTTGTATCCCCAGAGTCAAACTAGGTATCGATATTTTCATCGCGATTTATTTTTCACGTGTCAAACACAATTTACGGTACATATCTGACGCAGTGACGCTCCGCGATAATCAGAGAGAAACATTACAGCGTAAAGGTATGACGAAAAATTATAAAAATTATATACGTTTTACTGTCGTGTAATCATTTCTACTGAAATTGAATTTTGAATCATACTTACTCATTGTGGTGATATGCCGTATACAATTCTAAAAAACTAGTCCTTTCATTATTATGACTCGCGAAAGTACCTATAGTATGCACATAGACATTTCGCTGTTGATTCGCATTTCTCTCACAAGCTGTACGAAACATACTTAATTTTTTTAAATTTAAAATGTCACTGTTATTTAATACTATTATGTGCTAATTTTTTGAGATTAAAATTTCAAGGCAATGCACCGCCTTAATTTTTATTGTAATACCCTTTAAAAACGTAAAAAACTATATTATATATATAATATATTAAAAATAATAAGCACATAAACGACAACTCTATACATTGCAGTGCTATATAATTGAAATTTGTGTTTATAATCAAAGTCCTCACAACTTTGTTTTTAATTTTTATTCTATTCGATTTTTTTTTATTTACCAATTATTAACCTATTCATAAGTTAATTGTTTTTCTCCCAAATCGTTCCATGATTTTTTCAAAGAGCAATGATTTCAGTAATATGAGTTCCAATATTTTATTTGAATGTTTGTTTAGTAATCGATATTTTGTATTTACCAAGTTTGTGACCATTCGTTAAATACAAATTGTATAAGACATATTGCTATGAAAGGTACTTTAAGTTAAAAGACCTCTCTACGATGGCACTCTTGATGGAAGGGAAAAATAATGCACTAGTAACATTATAGTGTAAATGTGTGTATAAAATGCTGTGTCAAAAATATAACATTTTAAGCTTAAATTCGATTTAGGTTTGCCATCATTCATTTTCTTCGAAATATAATATTAATATTATAGTTGAAGTCGAATCATTTTGGTTGATGTGCAAAATAAAATTGAACAGTTACCCAGGTATATTTTATTCTGCAAAACTTAATAACATACCTATGTCATATGATTTTGGATTTGATAACATGACATATGTTATGATTTGCTAACTGCTAGTAGACTTAATCAGATTCACCATGTAAAACTACAAATTGGATAAGAAGGCAAAAAAGTAATTTTAAAATAAAATATGTCAATAGTTTACACTCTTAAAAACAGAGATTATAATAATATGATAGAGTTATGACCTATGATTGATTCCGATATTGAGTGATTACTGATTTGTGTCACATGGTTACGCATATACATTAATGTGTGATAGACAACGATGTATTAAAATATTTTTCTTTTGAATAAAATCAAATTAAAACTGGACAGATGGTACACAGTAATAATATTGAATAATGTTAATATAGCAAAGCTCGAAAACGAGACGCGAACACCAGCTGTGATTGGTCGACATTGATCTGAAACATATGCGTTAGTTTAGTTTGTCTAGCACCTTATAGGTCGATGTCCTTAATCTGGAAAAATTATGTAAATTAAATTAAAATAGGATAGTCTGCATTTATTTATTTTTAGTTCGTTAAATGATACATATTATTCGTCCTAACCGCATGAGAACTTTAATTTATAAAATATGAGATAATTTTTTACCACTGCAGGTTTCTAATAAAGTAATAACACAACATAATTCGTTTAGAGTTATAATTTTTGAGTACAGTTATAAAAAAATAATTAGATCATCACATATACATAGATATAGGATACCTGGATTTTTTAAAACATTTTTTATAAAATTAAATATTATTTTTTACTTTTGTGGTCCAGTCTTGTTAAAATCAAGCTGCCACGAGAGGATCACATGCGCGTATTCAGGAGTAATAGAAAGGCCTGACCAAAAATAATTCAAAAACCAATTCATCGTATGATAATTTTTTTTAATATTATATGATAAATAAATAATTTTAGAAATATACTCATCATGTCACCAAATTCTCAAAAATCATATTTTTTAAAAAGTTACCTATTGCGTTCCAAATTAATTTAAGCAAAAAAATATTGAATTTTAAGAAAAATTTTAAAAAATAAACTACTTGACTTAGATAAATCTTTTTACAATCAAAATTGTTCTTGTAATCAGATTCACAAATAGGCTATTTTGAATTTATCTAACAATTTTTTTTTCAGTACTAAAAAATAAAACATAAAACATGTATTATACACGTAGTGTTAGGTTCACATAATGAACAACAAAAAAATACATAAATAAAAAAAAAAATAAAAAATATTGATGTGAAAAAAAGTTAGTCCAAAAGTCAGTTCTGTTACAGCTTGTACATCGCACGAAATTCTAAAATGGAGTGCTACCATCTTTAACCGTTATACGTACGTTGTCATGTTATAATTGCTCAAGGGATTTCTATTTTGTATCGAGTTCTCTCTAAATAAAATGGAAAAAAAATATTGACTTCAAAATCATACAGAGTTGACAATCATGTATTACTCTTTTATGCTCTATGTTCACTTTTAGAAAAGAAATAATATTATTTGGTACCTATGGGATATGTTATACACAACTAAGAGAAATTAATATTTTTCTAGAGGCAATATTATTTATGGATTTAATTTTTTTTTTTTAAATCATCGTCATCATCATAATTATGTATTCCATATTAATATTATAGACGTAATGTGAAATGGACGTTATGTAAAAAAAAAAATACAAGAATATTATTTATTTATTTATTTTTCAGTGTTAAAAATGTAAATTATAATTGAGTTAGTTGTTTATGAGATAACATGACTTATCATACGTTTAAATATTCAATTATTTATCAACATTCACTATAAATATTATATTATGATTTTAGTATTACGAGAAATATAATATGGAATCAAAATTACATTACAATGACGTTAAATATATTTTTACCTGAAATAAATTGAATTTGAATTTGAATTGTATACTTTAAATTATGTTACATGGAACATTATCAGAATTACATTTATTTTTATAATACTAATAAATTACAAAACTTTAATGGTTTATATTGTTATAACTAATAATACATCATACAGAAATAATGTACCGATCTGATATCATGACGAATTTTCCTTTTTATTCAAGAAACCTGTATTAAAATTCTGTTCTAGTTTGTCCCATGTGATTTCGTTAGCCAGTGTTTGATTAATGTATATTATTTCTTGTTATAATACATATTTTGTTTTACATAAACGAAAATTCTAATATTATTCCATCATTAAAATTTGTTTCAGAACGCTTTGAATGCAGAATACCACAACGACTCCGATGTGAATTAAATGCGCCCTTCATCAGAAGTTACATTATACTCTTCTTATCTAAAATCATTCGCTTCGTTGTAATACCCTTAATTTGTTTATATTTTACATTCTCACCAGTGCTTTTTCAACCAAATTATTGTACCTTCAGTATAGTATTTTAGTGATAACAATTTTTTTTAGCGTATAGTTGATTGTATTCCATTTTAGTTCTAAGGTAAATTTTACATTCCCGATAAAAATGTATTTGTTTGCTCCGCAGATTAACATTACTCATAAATATATGTCAAAATAACAGTCAYAAATTATTTTGTTGATACTTCAATAATTACATTATTAGTTATGATTCTTATTATAATTATCATTATTACAATAATTAATAACCTACTCTACTTTACCTACTCTGAACCAATAATAAAAAAAATAGGTTAAGCCTTATGTGAATTTCCGAGTAAAATGTTTCCTCAGATACTATTACCTATTCTACCACAGAATTAAATAAAAACAATAATAATTTATATATTTATTATGATACTGAGTACTATAATAGCCAATAGGTACTATAGGTACCTACTAATAATAAATAACATGGTTATGGAAATTCGCGTACGGTTTTTGGAGTGAATATAATGTTTATAAAACGAGTATAACATAATATTATTTAAATTCATATAACTATTAAAGAAATATTACATTTTATTGAAATTGTGTTTGATCTTTTTTTTGTAATAAACCTCTAGTCTCTTAATTTCCAAAATTCAAAATGTAATAGMAACTGCATTAATGTATTATGATACAATAATTTATTCCTTTTTAAAAAATTCATCCACATAAATATTGAAAGTTTACTGCACGGGTTTAGGTTGACGATACTTCAATACTGGCCAAGTATTTTATGAGAGTCTACTTAATGTCGAGTTTACACAAATAAAATAAAGAGAAAAAAAACTAGTGACTTGATAAAACACATCGGTGAYCAATTTATACCATATTAGAATTTTGGACCCAACTTGAGGTTATTCCGATTGACCAGATAGTGAACAACAATTATTATACTATATAGATAACTAGGTGCCCCATAAAATTATTATTTATATTCAATTTTAGATGTATCTACCTTTATATTTTTTTTTTAATTATAAAATGAATCATTCAAACTTTTGAAAAATCGAGTTTCACTTCATAATACTATAATATTTCATGATACATTTCAACGATAACTCTCTACAATATTTTGGATTTTTTTTAATGAAATATTTTGGTTGTACATGAATAATTAACACCTACAGTAAAATCTACATGTTTATTTAAAAATTATAGTAAAAATTATATTGGCTATAGGCTTTAAAAGCTAATTTAGATAAATTAACACTAATAATTCCATTGAATGTGATAACAATATCATATTCACTTGAAATTTAAAATGTTGGTATAAAAATTATAACTCACAAAAAAAACCTAAGTAAATGTTACTTAATTATTAGTTTTCTTTTTCAAATTTTCAAGTTAAATATATAAATATAAAATATTATAAAATTTGTTTTTATTTCATTAAAAATTGTGCTTGGAATTCATGATATTGATCATTAGAATTTATTGGTATTGAAATATTCTAAAATCTGAAAATCTGAAAATAAAAATGTCATTATATCATAGTTTGATAATAACATTTTTAAACAGTTATTTTAATTAAAAATTATTTATTTCAAAATCCTACAAAACGAATAATTAAACTACTGAAACCCTCTTAAATAAATAATGAAATTATTTTATTTGTTTGTTTTATTAATTCGCTGACAGGATTAGATATTAATTTTCATTCAAACTATGTGAAAACAACATTTTTCATAAATGTCCAATTATCAAATTAATTTTTAATATTTAGTGTTGAATTTGTTATGTTACCAAAAAACTAATATAAGTTGTTATATGAACGTAATATTAAGCGAATGAGAAAATCGTATCATAATATGCTTTAGATGTATTATTTCTATTAAATTACTTTTATTAGACGCCATAAAATTCAATTGTCATTTGTCATCAATATTATCTCCCAATTGTGGAATACAGGRAAAAAAAACATCATGGTGAGCAACCTACTTTTAATTAATTGTAAATAAATAATATAATGATTAGTTGAATTTTACATTTTGATCTTTCAATTGTTGTTTAAAAAAAGTCTACAATTGGTTTTCAATGATTATTTAGAGAGCTCAGAAAACAATTTCGCCTAGTTGTAATACAATATAGACCAATACTATTGTCGTTCTGACATAACTTGGTGACGCCATTGAAGGTTGCAAACAAAATGCACTACATCAACAATCGACACAGGTGTATCGTATATGTACATGTATATATTATTATATAGCGTATATTATTATGTCCCTAGTTGATTGAGATTTTGAAGGTTCAATTTAAATTACAAAAAAATAATAGAAATGATTTATTATCACCTGCCAAAACATTAAATTATTTTTCGATACTTTTTATTGACAGGATTAGTCGTCAAATTAATTCTGGGTATAAAATTTACATGTAGATAGGTTTAATTATGATATAATTCATATTTGAATAATACTATCAATTATTGCACAAGTAAGTAATTTATACAATAGGACGTGATAAAGGTGTAAGTAATAAGGATATGTAAAAATAAAATATAAATATATTGCTTACCTATATTATAGTTATATATAGGAAGTGACTAATAAAGTAATACGTATATGTTACACTGTACGCTTTAATTTGTGTCAGTTATAATAAATTATATAAAACTCGTACTATTATTATATAAACGTTGCTGTCAATTCTTCATTATAGTTTTTAATTTTTAATGGAATCATAATGTTATAACGCGGTTAGATGTATTATCTATCTAGGCAAAAGGTACCTACCTCGCATTTCTGTGTTACTATTGTCCAAACTACAAACACTTCGTTTTGGGTTGTAAACCACTCAAGTGTAGGTATACTCGAATGTTGGTGTGTTTATACTTGAATACAAGCCCATCTGACTGAATGCGAAATCTTAAGATTTACAGTTCAGTCGTTGGAGGAATTAATTGGATTACATTAATTTTCATCCAAGTTTCACATGGCGTTGTTCAAGGAAATTTCTAAGAAATAGTTACTACAATAATTGTTTCTGTATAATAACAATAGGTAAACGACCACTTCCTTTAATTTCCAGACAACAGAGCAGGGTGAAAATACACAAGAAACATATTGCACTCGTTATCGTTTTCGGAGATAATGATAAAATAGGTACTTATTTATTAATAATATACCTTCACATGTTGTTGTTAGACACATTTGTATTTCAAACGATTGTAAACTATTCATGACCACAAGCAATATGTCACGAGAAACTAGAAAGTGTTATACGCGCAAAGGTTATTGCGATCTCGATAAGACGAGATTATCGTCTGGTGGTAAATTATTGAATAGATTTACAACCAACAACGTAGTGGTTAGATTATATTATTATGTGTCTATGAAACATTTTACGTGCATTGCAAAGCGCAGATAAATGCACAGCGGGTCTCCGAGGTCAATTAATTAAAAAAATCGCTGAACAAACACGGTCCGTATAAGGACGTGGAAACAAAATAAATAAAGTCGTTGATTTCCTATAATAATTAGATGTTAATAGGTAGTCTTTGACCTAATCAGTAAATCAGTTAGAATAGTGTACGTAGTTTTGGTTTGATAGTAAAATATGGACCCACCGAGAAGTTAAATTAGCTAATCAGCAGCATTAAAAATGCGTGTCGTGTAAGTAATTAGTAATAATAATAATATATTATGTCTGATGGGCCTCTATTAGTTRATTGTTAAGAGAACTATGATCATCAAGTGATGGATTTTTGAATTTACAAAATTATAACAGTAGCTCGATTATTTTGATCATAGGAAATATATTTTTTATCCTGTGCACAATTAATCATATTTTTGCTATACATTGTAGGATTTTTTCTTCGAGAAAATTCAAAACATTGTTTTAAATGTTCTGATGATTGTTATTGAAATCAAGTTATATTTTGAAGGTGTAGTTTTTCAATTTTCTCAGTTCCTCAAATAACAGATTTTATAAAGCTACGAAAAAATCGTCAAGCATTTTCAACCTTGAATTTAAGTTTTGGGTAGATCACGAGCTCCAAATCAGAATTCGTTTACAAAAGATGACAATGATTTATAAAAACTTTCAAAATTATATTCTTAATCATAAAAATTCTATCTTGTRTCATGGTGAGTGAAACTCAGTCTCCTCTCCCCGCCTATTCGTCGATATAACTAAATTATAATAAACTAATAACGRATAAATTCGAAGATGTTTAAATAAATTATGCTGTACTAATAAAACTTTAACATTTAAAAAACAGTTAAAAATTAAAACACTAATATTCTTATCATTTTTGCGATCTGTCAGAATGATTTTATCAACGTGAATTTATTTGATTTTTTAAACAATTAGCTGCGACTGAACTCGTATTATAATTTACAAAATAACTAATTCTCAAAGTTACATGCAGTCAACTATATATACCATTATATGTATACCTATTTTTTCCTTGTTTGTTTTGTCGTTTATTCCAGTATTTTTCCTTTGTTCGTAAAATATTATCGTTTTAACGTTCAGCTAGAATCCTCGTCGTCAGGTTATTAATTTTTTCGTCTGTAGCCAAACATAATATTTTCCAACACGAGTTTATACAATTCTATATCTACAGAGTCATTAGCATAACAATCGCACCGCGAAGTATAAATTTGTTTATCAATAGAGCAATGGTACTTACTTATAATAGTCGTTTAATTCGCGCAATGTTCTCACAACGCGTATTATATACACTGGTATATTAATATAACGCTCCCCCAACAAGGGCACCCGCATAGTCCGCATACGACCAAGTTTTTCGAAATCTAAGTCACATCTTGGCGGGCGTTTAAAAGCCGACGTGGCCTAATTTCCAGCCTCACACATCGTCGGTCGCTCGGGGTTCTGCAGTAGGACTGATATGATAATATAATGTCGTCGGTTGCGTATTATGCGCGTACAATGGTCGAAAAAACAACTGGCGAACGGATGAATGACGGTCCGTGCGCGTTCTGTCACACCGGAACAATACCTAAGTAAAGCAGTATAATATACCTACCTGCACAGCAGTGGCGTTAGTATTATTTAATAAATTTGTACGTACCTATTCGGTTTAACGAGGTAGAGAAAAAAATAATACTCGCCGATAATACACGTAGACTACTACTACTACTACTAAACTATCCTTATTATAAAAGCATATATTGTACTATTATCATAATATACTAAGAGATATGCGCGAGTCACGCAGCAGCACAATGTTCGCATACGTTTTTCTCTCAACGTGTACGACTATAATATGTTATACTGAGTTATGTTTATTGTTGAGGACATTTTACGCGGGTTGCAATTATTGTAAGGATCTAAAATGGCACGAAATTCGTTTTTTTTWAAATATTTCATTCGTGCGATAAATGAAAAGAAATTAGAAATTAAAATAGTTATAATAGTCTATAGTAGTTATCACGTATATGTACTACAGGCATTTATATCCAGAAAACATTTTTTCAAGTATCTGTATACGTTATGGAATAAAGGTGAGTCGTTAACAAAAAAATATAAAAATTGTTTGGTAACTATACATAAAAAATTGAAACATAATTACATTATTTACATAGGCACCTACCATACTGTTTATGAACAGACCATAGCACTATGCACACTGATCAGTTCTTACTATGTTCAGAGTAATCCAAAGTGCTCCCAGTAACTCAAATTCGGGAACATTAAAATATTTATATCTGTAAGGTTAACTGCCAAAAGAGAGATCCGGATACTCGATAATTTTTTTTCCAGATTTAATTCAAAATAAGAATTTTATGATGTGCATAACACAAAAGACTAGAATACAAAATATTTGATGTTTTATGTTATGTATTATTTGTTTTTGGTTATGTACTTTATATTATTCGAAAATTATTTCAAATTTCAATATAATAATCATTCAAACTATTATATTTTGTAGATTTATTATTTGGTTAGGTGCTCATGATTTATTTTGGTTGATATTAGAGAAAAACATAAAGAGAAATATACACAATATACTCATTATAGGTGCTGCTATGCATTTGTATAAATTACAGACCTTACCGCCATTATTTTATTCAAAAATATATGAGCCTAATTATTAATAAGTGATATAACTGATATAGTAATAGTWATAATACATTTTTGTGTCGCATGTGACCATTAACAAAATGATTCCGGGACCATGGCTATCAACCTGGATAAATTATTAATTATCAATGTTTACCATACGTAATTTCACTAAAAACTAATCGATATTAATCATAAAGGTGTATCACGAGTTATGACACTTATAAAAAATTAAAATTTTTCATAATCTTTTTAAAATACTTCAAGAAGAGAAAAATGATCATTGATATACCTAATTATTGATGATGTAATCGAAAATTCGTTAGAGACGTTTAATATTAACATTTCACTTTAATTAAAYGAACAACAATAATTATTATTATAGTGTGTAGATGATGATATTATACAAAGTGCCTAGTGCTATGCATTTACGTGTAATTTATTCTAATATATTATACATGTGAACAAATTTTCYATAATCCTATATATTATAAAAGTAATAATTATTTAATTTTACACTTGTGTTTTTGTCAGTCATATTATACTTGATATATGTACGTTCCTAGATTTTTTYAAATTTGATTAAAAAGTGTAACGAATTTTGTTCATTATCAATTCAAAACGGAAAAAAAAGTTTGAAAATCGAATCATCGTTATAATTTACTGTTTTTATAATTGAAAAAAAATTAAAAAAATGGACAAAATACGTATACTGAATATAAAATGAATTTTCGAACGAATTCATCAAAATAACTAATTTTCAAATATTATCAAAATGAAAACTTCTGTCACCTAAAATATATCGTTCCCTACTGAAATGAAATTAAATCGCACCACTGTATATATTGGAAACATTCTCCTCAAAAAATTATGCCTTCAAACATGTAGGCACATCATTTTGGTGTCCTGTRTCACATATTTGAGTCGGTAATTAGTTTTTATACAGCTGTCGTTGATATAATAACAACAACAAAATTGTGATGTTTCAGTGAAAGATTTTTTGAAGAGACATATTTTTAAAAATAAGAACCAAAATACTTTCATTATTTGCAATGATTTATTGTTTGTTTTGTTTTTATTACATTGTATAGATATCTTTTGAGTGATGTCAGTATACTGTTAGTATTTTCATTGATTTGTGTTGATTGAAACAATTTAAATTATAACCTTGTGGCACTATATTTCTTTCGTTTAATATTGTCGATGTACCGTATTTTGTATTCTGTTCAAAATATAACACAACAGGAACACTAAAATAAATTGAAAATTAAAGCATTGGRATGGGTTTAATTACATCAATTATTTTGGATAATACAAAAAATATCTGTTAAGGTTGTTTAAAATTGAAATTTCTRGAAATTATGAATAAAAAGAATAAAATGTGYGTGTTCAAAAGCGTTCTCAGAAATCATCAGCAGGGTGGTCTAATAATATAGTCTAAGACAATATTATATTATAGTCATAGGTAATGGAATAGTATTCTAATTCACATTTRGGTTTTATTCCAAAAGAGAGAGCTAACATTAATCATAAACCACTTAACACTCTGGTCCTGACCATCAAACGTAGAAGYCTATAGCTATATATACGAWAATCAAATAAACGCTGCCGATAAGTATCACGTCATACTGCCATAGAATAAAATAATGTTTAATATATTTTTTGTATAAATAGTACTCGACAGTACGACTCGTGGAGTGCCACACTCGTTCGTATTATGAACGCGATAGTATGACTTTTTTCAAAATGTATATTTACTCACATTTTGAAATTTTTATCATTGTAGATACGCAGTTAACTTTATTTTATTACTAACCTTGTTCACGTGTTACATATTATTTTATTTATGGTTTTCCTATTGTTTAGAACGCTTATTTGGACGAACTCTGGTCAGTTTTCGTTTATTGTTTCAGGACACTTTTTTTTTTTTTGATTTTTTTTTTTCTAAATTTTAAATTTTTTCGCGTTTTCCCTTGCCCCCTGTACTTCTTGTCTGCCACTCCACCGATTTTACATACTTTTTTGGGCTTGTGCACAGCGGCGGACGTGTTGACCGCGAACAGCCGCATATCTTCTGCCGACCAGTCGCCTTGGTACTGCACCGTTTCTCTTAGTTCACCGTTCCAGAAGAACATCATCGTGGGCAGCACGTGGACATTGCACTGTATCGCCAACTCGAGGTCGTCCGTACAGTCCACGGCAGCRGCCACGATGCAATGGCTGCCCTGCAACGATGCCGTGACGTCAGCGAACACCGGTTTAATCGGTCCACAATATTTGCACCCTGCGCAAAACTGCATTTCACTTGTTGACTTTTAAATAAATGAACTGATAACAGATAATAGTGATAGAGAGAAGTTAGGGCCAACACTATATTAGATAAAGGTAGCATAGAACTTAAAACTCATGTAAATCCGGGCGCGCGCGCGCGCGTGTGTGTGTGTGTATGATTAATTTATAATATGGTTGTCGACCATTTAGAACGAATAATTATACCTACTAATTATTATTATTGATAAATCAGTTGTTTTGAATATTTCGATAACCGTTCAGAAAACTAATATTGTATCGTGTGACTATGGAACGCATGTCGCTAAACACTATTTCCCGAAGAAAAAGTAAAACGGTCCTCCGAAAGTTATTTTTTACCTGTTGTATATGTTTTATTATTGTTTATTTTTTTGACAGAAACTCGCCATTAGGATTTCGACATATATTCAAAGTATAGAATGTTGACATCCGGTAAGTGACTAGGTACCAAAGTTAGTGATAGTGATTGGAGCTCACAATATATAAAAATTGATATTGYTATGACGTCTTACAATACAATAGGTATGATAAATAATTGTCATTAAACCGGATAAAACATCGGAATTGAAAATCTTTAGCATAATCCTTAGACGCGCAAATAAATAAATAAATAGATTAATATAAGAAAAATATTCCCTTATATTTATGCGTAGTGTTAACTAAGTCTTCCTGATCCTGTACGAGTGTACGACCGACATTATTTTCAACAACAAAATTATTATCGATACCAACTCAACCCCTCCAATGAACTGTGATGGTATGACAACGTTTGTCTACCAGAGAAATGTCCACCTGATCGTGGCTCGGATCAAAACATAGGTAACCTACTTACGTCTCTCACATTATATATACCTACCTACTAGTTTACTACGAGCACTCGCTCGACCATCTCCTGCCCACATAATAATTGCATTCGTTACATAGGGACAAATTGTGATATTTACTTCCACCTTCTCCGCTTTATTACTTAGTCCATCATCGTTTTTCTTTCACAACTAATCTGTCCTAATAATTCCCGCAAWAAAATCAGTTATCTCAACAAATCCAACTTATATGTACCTATATAGGTGCTCTCTTGCGAATAAATACGAGAATAAAGAAATGATTCCTCCTGAACCCTAAAATAATAAAAATAAATATTTACCCAAGTATTTTAGACATAATTATTATTATTTTTTTTTTTTGTGATCGGTTAAGACGTTATACCTAAGTAAAATTGTTTATTATAATTTATTCTTTCTCACCCCCTTTAAATATAGTTTGAAACGAGACAAACTTAATAATATTTTCTTCAGTAATATTGTGTTTTTTTTTTTAAACATTTCAACATATTTCGGAGGAATTACCACAGCACGTTTATATAATATTATCGTGGATCTCCTACATGCATGACACGGTACGGTGCCGACCTAAGAGCAATAAAATAGTGGTCAATCGCCCACAATATTCTACTGCACAATAAAAAATATTGTCGAATCCGACCTCGACGGTACGAAGTGTAGATGAGACATTCTAAAAGTGTTAGTGTTTATTTTGACCTCATGCGCATAACCTCTTCTTAATAATTATTATGTGGCCAACCATATTCTAATAATACATCATGTATCAGAAAAACAGTACTACGCAATAAATATTTAAAGAAAATAACAACTTCGATATTACCTATTCATGAACTCTCGGGCCACATAAGAGAGAGTCACATCAATCAAGGCCCGCGTTGTTCGTGGGAAATTATTTATGTTGATAATATTATTGCATTGCCTATATTTGCATTCCGATTGTCTGCATACGTTTTCTTATAATTGCACTCGGATAGTTATATGAAATATGTTTTTTTAATCGCAACGCATATATAATACTGTATTGACTGCGGACAAGTGAAGAAATAATACTTCACCGATACTAATATTATAAAATATAATTGGACATTTTTATGTTATTGACATTAAAAAAATGAATATTTTTAGTAACCTGTTCTATTTTCATTCCCATAATAATTAATGATCGATTTGAAGTTGACATTAAAATTGTACAATGACGTTTTAAATTGTTTTAAAGTATAATATGGTATATGTATGCGTATATAATATTATTAGATATTTGATGTACATACTACATTTAGTTTTTTTATAAACGAACGCACTAAATATCCCGATAAGCTAGACGATTCCTTTCCTATACCACAATAAATCGAGTACTGGAACACACAACAACCATGGATGTATTAATAATACAATGACACAACAATTCAGATAGATTGGTAAATGGTAGGTAGGTATGCAATCTTTATTTTCTTTATAAGAACTAAAAACGTTTTCATGGATGAATGTAATTTTTGTTGCTCAAAATACAATTTAAAATTTAGATACGTGATATTCGTGTAAAGCCAGCTAATGTGTTTTTTTTTAGATATAGGTAGGTAGGTACACCAGTGAAATCGTTCTAATTTTATTTTGTCTATGAATTCGGCCTCAAAGCTTAAATTTAACACACGTAAGTAATAAAAATTATAATATATTTTCTTTGCAGTTAATAGTACGGCATTATTTTTACTATACTTTTTTTTTATATACATAAAACTTTATAGATACGATATGTTAATTTGTCAATAAATAACTAATTTTATTATTTTCATTAAATCCAAAAGTCATTTCCGACATTTTACTTGAATAAAGTACCTACTTCTATTTTAATTACCTACTATTCGTTTGTGTCAAATTATAATTATAATATTCAATGTATATTTTGCATCCACATAGTGAAACCACTCATTTCAYAAACTGGATATCCAGATAGTGAAATTTGTCCAGTTCATGAATTTTGACGAAAATACATTATTTGGACATCTATTTCATGAAATAGATAATACCTATATCGTGTACTTTGTGTAATTATTATTTTATTATAATTAAATAGATAATTTTATATATTTTTCTACAAACAAAAATATAGCAATTAAAGTCACTAAATTATATCATATTTTTATTTAATTTTTCAAAAACCATACGTATATTATATGTTATATAAACAACAGTGTTACCTATGTCTAAGTGTTATAAAATATTCATGAAATTAACTATGATTATAATATTTAACTACCTATATTTATCTATTGTATATTAAAAAATAAAATTAATTGGTGAACTTAAACATACCTTAAACGGCTTAAACGATACCTATACATTTTTTTCCTTATTATTTATTTTTACATGACGATTGATTATGACATCGACTGTTACATTGCATATTATTTTTAAAACAAGCACACCTACTGATTGGCAAGAATTTTTTGCCTTACACGAACAAGACAAAAATCCTTACCCTCCCTATCCTTAACCCTCCTGAAATTTTTTTAATCATTTATCGCACAAAAAAATCAACATTTTTATCAACTTAATCAGCAGTGAGAAATTGAGTTGTTGATTTTTTCAAATATTCACACTACTGAACCATCCTTTAAGTAAACCATATTTTGTTCCAAGTTTATGCAATCCCTTTTTTTTGTTCCTGATCACACAAATTATGTTAGGGGGATCTGTGGTCACCTATCAACTTTTGGGTACTCCAAATATAACAAATTTATTTATTTCAAAATCGTCCGTTATTTATTGTTTCCCTGTTAAAAGTAAATTTAAATTAAAATCTAAATAGTAAAAGTCCAATATAACTGTATTGTGTTATTTACCTTGATCATTTTCTCTGCARCTATAATTTTACCTTCATATCCAAGTTTATGTTGAATTTGTATTTTTTTGCTGGAATCGCATAATTGTCAAATAATTGTCATTATCTTCAGCAATCTCCGATAGTRACAAATCGACATCAAATTTACAAATGCTGCAGGCGATTGAGCATTTTGTAGTTTCCTTTTATCTGAAATCTTCGAGTTCTGTTGTTAATTTTTTCAATAGATCAGATGGCAAATTTTATGTACTTAGTCCAATTTTTTAGTAATTTCCAAATAAAGYCTTATAAGGGCTACGCCCAATTGATCGTTRAAATTAACTATTTTTTAATGGAATTGAACAAAATTTAATCCAATGCTCCACTTCTTGGATATATTATCAGCCATCCATGATCATAACATGTGTTCTATATCCTGATTAGATCTCTCAATACTTCCCTGACTTTGAGGATGTCT